ATGTAGATTTGTGCAAGATCTGGTAGATATCCATATCGTATCCTGAGGACTTTAGCCACTATTTGTTTTAAGTTGAATATGTGGTCAGTAATAGGTCGTCTTGGTCCAAATCCGGCGTGGTATTCTCCTATGATTTGCTCTGTGAAGTGACCCAATCTCCTGTTTGTGACCCATGAGCTTGTCTCTCCTCTTTTGGATTGGGCATATAATTGCATTTTTCCAATCTCCTGGAATTTCTTCTATGTTCCACACGTCTGTTATTAGTTTATGAATAAGAGTATGTGGCTTAAATTGGTAAGTATTGTATATTTTTGTTATAAGAATACAAATACACTATGTGTCATATTCTGAACTTTAAAAAACTCCACTAACAATGGCATTTGTACACGTGAGCACAATGTAGTTAATGAACTTTAAGACAGAAAATTTTTAGTATGTTAACATTATCAGTAAATTTAATTGTGATAAATTTAGTGAAATGCGGGATTAAATAACAAAGCATTTCCTGCCGTTCAGCAAGCTCGGAATACGCGTATTTCTCCACCAACATTCTCACGTTCACGTTAAGATCTGCTTTATGGGGTAAGACAGGGCTTATTTACTGCTGTTTTTCCTGCTCCAACAATATTTATGCAAGGGTAGTCTATAATGTGTTTTCCGGAATTTTATTTTTCACTGCACCAATAGAAAACTAAGCATTGTGGCCGTGGAAACATAATTCATCTTAAATTATGAAAATATAACTAATGGGATGCTGCATTCTAGAGAAAAATTATATCTTCTATTTTCTATAAAAAAAATTAAGATTCAGTTTATTTGAGAAGGTAGTTAAGGTACTTGGTTTCAAATTAGTTAAAATAGCAAAAAACAAAATACCGCAACAATATTTAAAATAAACAACACATTATTATCTTTTCAACCGAGACTACCAAGAGAAAATCATTAAAAATTAACGTTTTCTTTGGTTGTACTTGCCGAACGATCCGGATTTTTAAACTGACCTGAAATAGCTAGTTCTCCAAATCATTACGGCTTGATTCTTTTAAGACCCTATTTGAACGTGATATTAGGCTGTATCTGTCATCCAACTTAGACAACGAAGTATCTACTAAGTGCTCTCAGTACCTGAGAATGTTCCCATATCTGAAGATTGGCAAATATCTGATCAGCAAATGATTAAAAATATACATTATAATATGATTTCCAAAGAAATAGGTGTAAACCCCGATCTAACAGAAACGATGCAAGATGCCAGCCCTTGTGATTTCTTTTGTTTGTTTTTTGATGAAGAAGTGGTATCCCTGTTAGTAAATCAAACAATTATGCTCAACAATGTCTTGGAAGACCCAATATAAACAGGAGTGTAAGAATTAAAAGCTGGATAATGACAAATCGACAAGAAATGCATACCTTTTTAGGCATACTTATATATATATATATATATATATATATATATATATATATATATATATTATATATAGAAAAGAAATTTAATATTTGCAGATAAGTTAAATAGTAACTCTTAATATCAATTGTTTCGCCGAACGTCTTTTGTTTGAACCTTTAGAACGTTTCTACTTTTGAATATTTATGTCGTTAAGGTTCATTGGTGAAACCGATGAAGTTAGATCCCAGTCTGGGGAGATATTAGTTTAGAATTTTCTTAATTGAAATTCTTTTTTAATTAGTATATTGTTCATGTATTATTATAATAATATCTTATTGAGATGTATCTAATAAAAGCAAGGGAATGTTATCTTTTTTAGTTAATGAAAAATAATTAATAAAGTAGGTTAGTTGTTAATAGATATATCAGTCAAGTTAGTTATCTGTGATGTTGTACCAAGAACAATTCCTTCCGGCCTTCCCCCCAATTATTTCGGTTAATGGAGGTTGTACTGTAATACCATCTAGCCAGAGGCTAAAACCATGGAACGGTTTTCTGAGGCCAAAACTTCAATTTCTTCATATAAAATATACAAGCCGAGTGACTGCTTAGGTACACGGCATGCAGTTTTGTAAGTTATAATGAGTACCATATATGGCCCTCAATATTTAAACTTATCTTCTTGACTGAGTACCATATGTGGTACTCAAATGACACTTTTGGCAATGCAGGGAAAAAGAGGCTGGCCGTCAACCCGTTAATAATTTGAATTTTATGTTCAATTGTAAAGGTTACCATTTTCCTAACTTGAAATATCAATTTATTAAATCCTTTTTTGCGAATAAAGCCATAAATTGTTACTATTGGAAAAATAAACGTATATTTGTCGTTTACGTTGTATAAACTGAATGCCACTTTGTCAAAACTAAAATTCAATCTACTCGGTGTTAAAAACAAGCTCGTATGTCGGTACTAATTGCACACTGTATTTGGTCTCTCTCTGATAGTAGAACAACCTCATATTGTTCTTTTCACACTAATTATGCGAGCTAGCAGTTTTCCGATTACCACAACTGTATGTATTCTTTTTTACTTCTCACAACAAAGTAGATCAAAAGTCAACTTTCAAGGTGTTCAAACAAATGTGGATTTCCTGAAATATAGCGATCGTCATTAAACCGTGTTCCACAATCAATTTTCCATTGCATCCGGTGAATAAATATTATTTCAATCTACGTTATGTACAGGCAATCACCTAACATCAATTTATAAAATAAACATAATGTTCTTCACCTTAATAGGTTCAATAGATTACAGTGTTCCAGTTGTTTTCAGTTTGTTTGGCAATCAGGGCGAGAGATAATCCCACCCTTTTCTATAAACCAATTAATAATAAATACGTTTCCAAAGCGGGATTATTCCACGGATTTGAACAGTAAAATATTTCTTGGGATGTTTTTCAATTTAGCAAACCCAGTTTATCCATTCGTTACAATATGGGTCATTAGAAATATGAAATTTACCCCAGCAAGTAAATCATTTTGAAATACTGCATGTTTATTCTTGTTTTGCTGTTAGCTTTAAATACTCCACCATTATTCTTCCAAAACTTCATCATTATTAAATTCAGCATAAGGTGTTCAAATTAAATGAGGGTACTTTATTTTCTTATAGAGGAGCTCTATTTTAAAAACGGATATAAATACAGGGGGAGATTTGTTTTATTTTGTTTTTCCATATTTACAGAGTTGGTATAAATCATAGGTAAACATCAATTTAATACTTCTTACATTATTTCTTTTACCACTACTATTACTTACTACAACAAATGACCAAATAGAGAGATGGAAAGAGCATTTTCAGGAGATGCTAGGCACACCCAGGGATAACGCAGATGAAATTGTCGAAAATCCACAGAATATAGACTTGCGTATATCTTGCGACGCCCCTTTCAAAACAGAGATAATAACAGCTATCAAATCTCTGAAAAATAACAAGTCTCCGGGAATCGATAACATTGCTGCAGAAATACTTAAAACTGGTCCGCATCTAACTGCTGAACTTTTGCTCCCCATAATCCGAGAGGTGTGGGAAACAAACCGCATTCCAGCGGGCTGGAAAAAAGGCATCATTATTAAGCTTCCAAAAAAGGGCAACCTCACACTATGCAAAAATTGGAGAGGAATAACCTTGCTTACCGCCATAAATAAAATCTTCACGACCATCATACTTAAAAGATTAACAAACAAGGTTGAATTTCGAGCTAATCAAGTAGGATTTAGACCAGAATCCTCCTGCATAGACCACATTAATACTGTGAGGCTAATAATGGAACAATCGGTTGAATGGAACACACCCCTATACATGGTTTTTGTTGATTTCGAGCGTGCTTTTGACAGCTTATCTCATGATGCGATATGGAAAATTTTAGAGCTAAGAAACATCCCGCATAAAATAATTTCCATTATAAAGTTACTGTACACTGAAGCGAAATGCAGCGTGACACACAATGGGATCAACAGTGACGAATTTGACGTACTTACTGGAGTCAGACAGGGATGCGTGCTTTCTCCGTTTCTTTTTAACATAGCTCTAGACTATGTTCTCTCCAAACTAGACTCTGACACAAGAGGGATACAATGGACGTTAACCACACGCCTAAGCGATCTAGAATACGCCGACGATATCTGCCTGTTAGGATAAAGGTTCCAAGATGTGGCTGACCAATTGGAAACACTTTCCACTGAAGCCAATAAAATAGGTTTGAAAATCAATATTGGTAAAACCAAATCCATGAGAATAAATGCAAGAAACAACACGCTATTCACCATTAATAACATGCAGATTGAAAATGTGGAAAACTTTACGTATCTTGGAAGTGTCATAACAGAAAGCGGAGGTACAGAAGACGATATTCGTATGAGGATACGAAAAGCGCAACAAGCTTTCAGCATGCTCAACCCTGTTTGGAGGTCTGGACTGGAGACTACACTACGAGGACAAAGATCCGCATATTCCAGTCAAATGTCATGTCTGTACTACTTTACGGATGTGAAACCTGGAAAGCGACAAAAACCCTTACAGACAAACTGCAGGTCTTTGTTAATAAATGTCTACGAAGAATTGTTCGTATTTTCTGGCCTAACATCATCAGAAACGAAGATTTACTACACCTGACCAAACAAAAGAGGGTAGTAAATGAAATAAAGTCCAGAAAGTGGAGTTGGATCGGTCACACACTCCGAAAAAATAACTCCAGTATTGCAAAGACTGCCCTAGAGTGGAACCCCAAGGAAAACGAAAAAAAGGTCGCCCAGTACAAACTTGGAGAAGATCCATCATGGATGAGATAAGAAAACAAGGAAAGTCTTGGAATGAGGTGAAGGCCTTAGCGCAAAATAGAACCCGATGGCGCGTTTTCACTGAAGCTCTATGCTCTTAGGAGTTCAAGAACCTTATATATATATATATATATATATATATATATATATATATATATATATATACATTATTTCAATTCTATTTCGGTGTTTGTTCTTTTGTCCTCTCCATCTATGTATTACTTCCTTCATGTATTGATCTTAACTGCTACCCCCTCATACATATCTCTTACAACCTTCACCAGGTGATCCTTTTTCATTGGTAACCCACCAGTCAAGATTAATGAACTTATGAGCATTTGTTTCTTTATTCGTATAATTTTTCTCCAGTTGACTTATCACGAAAACTGCATCTGTTGTTAATCTGGTTTGCATATCACCGAAATAATTTTTAGATAGATGTTTATTTCCGACACACTTTCATGTTGCAGCTAATTTTTTCTACTATTATTCCCTAATAAAATTTCTTTCTCATCTTTTAACAGTCGTCAGTTGATTTTTTGTGATCCTCTCACAGCAAACACAGCAGTGATCGCGGAAAAACTTTATTAGTCAAATTAAAAATAATTTACATGTAACACAAACTTCGGCTTATTAAAAGAAAAAACAAATTAAAACAGAAAAGGAAACCGCATACTTGGACGTCGTTAACGAAAACAACAGGTGATATAACCATATTATCCGTATAGAAAAGAACTTGAACAAACGTCACATAGAATTGAAATTGCCTTCTCTAGATGCTGAGAAGGAGGCGAGGGTAGGAGCCTAACAAAGGCGCATAAGATGCCAGGAAGCAAGGCAAAAGGATACCGAACTCAAACCTGGAGAGATAATTAAAAATCACTTAGAGTTGGAAATGGTACCAGATGTAATGCAACCTAAATAAATAATTTCAAAAAGCCGTTTATCGTCCTCTTACTAGATAGAAGAGAATGGAATTCTAGATAGAGACGAAGGCACTGAAATAGAATCGGATTGACTTCAAGTCAGTTGGAAACCTTGAAACCGTTCAGGGCCTTCAGAATTTTACTAGGGTCGAAAAAAAGTAACAAAGTACGCTTAATCTGGGTGCCTGGACATACTGGTATTGAAGAGAATAAAAAAAGTGGACCTACTTTGACAGGGGAAGTTGTTACTGTTATTGTTACCACTATCTATTACATGTCTTTTTAAGGTAACAATTAACATCGTTTCCATGATTGTGTGGTTCTCATATTGTACTTTTTTAGATGAACTGATGATGCTTTCAAAACTCGAAAGCGAAACGTATTCAAAATAGATAAAGTAGCCTATCAACTTTGTCTTTTATTTCTCCACCTAGAGACCGATATAAGAACCCACCACTCGTCTGAGTGATCCTTATATATATTGGATTGACGGTCGTACTCCTTTTTCCGATATATATATATATATATATATATATATATATATATATATATATATATATATATATATATATATATGTATATAATATAACAATGTTTTACGTACTATACGAAAAAATGTATGATGCATGAATGAATGAATATTCTGTTTCAGAAAAGACTTTCAAATACATAAAGCTAATAATCCCACAGGCCCTCCGATCCTGTTAGAGCAACTCAGATATGCCATTAAATATTTAAAAGATAGAAAAGCGCAAGCAGAAAGTCATATTTATATACTCAGAAATATTAAAACTATTATGTTAAAAGTATCTCAGTAACTTATACAACAAAATATATGATGGAACAGCGAAAATACAGCTGGTAAATGACTAGTTGAGTTTATCGAGATGCCAAAAAATAATGATAATATGAGTATGAGGACCACAGACGAACCTTAATATACTAAAAGCTTTTTTGCGAATACTCCATAATTGTTTGGCAAGTAACAATCTACAATTCCACATTTGTTTTTCCACAATTGTTGGCATGAGCAAGGATGTCCATCTTTCTTTTTAAAAATACTTTTTTTTACGACAGTTTGAAAAAGTGTCTTTTATGTAATAATTCTTCGCTATTAAATGTAGCACATAATATACGAATATTTTATTTACAATTTTTTTATAGAATCAGGTGCACAATGAACTAATTTTATATCACTTAGGAAAATCGACTGACTTTTGGTTTTTTGTACATCTTCCAATCTTTAATGATATCTATTCCAGAATTCTGGAACCCTATACGAGCTTATACAGGTCTAATGGATGGGTACCATATATATCTGGAGTCACTTCGTTGTTTCCAAAAAGTGTTTGCTGATTACGATCCAATGCCTTGCAAAGATGCAAGATATGGTTGACTGTTTCAAGGTTTTCTGATATAGAGTTTACAGCTCAAGTCTCCATGAAACAGCTCCATTGTATCCAAGTGTCCCTTAAGCGACGCATGTCCAGTAAGGAAGCCTGTTATGAGTCTGAGCCGATTCATGCCTGTTTTCCGCAGTACTTCAGCTCTATTAGCACATATCTGTCCAATATACATGTTGGCTTCGGATCCAAGCTTCTGCTGGATGCGGATGCTCTTCTGGCAAATGCATCAGCTCTTTCATTGTCGTATAATCTCTCGATGATCTAAAACCCATCTGTAACACTGTTATGTTTCGTTAGGCTGTTAAGTTCGTGTCGACATTCCGACACTAGCCTAGAGTCCACCTTAGAGCTTATGAGAGCCCCAATCTATTTTGTGGCTTGCTTGAATATGATGTTGGGCTAGGGCTGAAGTAGTATGGGAATGTTTGACTGATATAGAATGTTCGTAAATACGGTTATGGATTCGTCGATTTGTCTGTACGATGTATGTACGTGGGCAACTGGAACAAGATATCTCGTAGACACCATGGCCTTTATTAAGGATTTGGTCTTTTACGGATCTGATGAGATTGGACAACTTGGAGTGAGTAGTGAAGATGGTTTTGATGTTTAGGGGAAGAAGAGTTCTACTTATCTTGTCAGTGACACCTTTTCGTGCCATCCGGCGGCAAGGTTTCTTTTTTGGATGGAATGGGGTTTAGATGTTTTTCAATGCTCTTATTGACTTGGGTTTTGTGGTAGCCGTTTTGTAAGAGTGTTTGCTTTATTAAATTGATTTCGGATGACCTATGATTGTTGGTCAAAGACATGGACAGTCAAAGAATCAGATCGACGACGTATAGACGCCTTTGAAATGTGGACATGGAGACGCCTGCTTCGAATTCCATGGACGGCTCGCCGTACAAATATCTCGGTTCTGGATGAAATTAAACCGGATCAACGTCTCTCCAGTACCGTTTACTCTAGAATTTTAAAGTTCTTTGGCCATATCCATCGAAGTGATCACAAAATGGAGCGGTTGGTGGTCCAAGGAAGGCCTCAGACTCAACGCCAAAGCGGAAGATCTCCACAGCGATGGGCGGACATTACTAAAAAGCTTCTCAATAAACAGTATACTGAGGCAATACATATAACTGATGACCGCGAGCAGTGGAGAAATATTATCAATCAAACTGTCCGAGCTGCTGAAGCCCAATTATGAACCACAACACATCTACTAAGATGTTAATGACTGTGATGATGATGATGATTGTTGTCGCTAAGTCTTATGGAACTAGAAATGAGTGTGTTGACAACTGAATTGATGTGGGCGGGGTGATGATGTGACTGGGCATTAAGATATCGGTTTGTATGAGTGGGTTTTCGGTACACGGAATAAGAAAAACCGTGACATAAGTTTTTCTGGAATGGCAAAGACGCTTCAGACTCAACTTCCATCGTGAATTGAATACTAGGATGTATTCCATTCAGGTGGGAGAAAAAGAGATCAAACGTGTCTTTAACATGAGTCCAAATGACGAAAGTGTCATCAACATACCGTAACCAGCAGGTGGGTTTGAGATTTCATGAGGACAGGGCTGCTGTTTCGAAATGTTCCATGAAAATATCAGCTATTACGGGAGAGAGGGGAGATCCCATTGGGGCACCTTTCATTTGACGATAGAAATGATTTTGGAATGAAAAGTATGTATTAGACATGCAGTGTTTTATAAGAGATAGTGTGTCTTGGGGGATTTGATCTTTAGAGTCCAAGATGGAAATGGTTTCATCGATGGGAATGTTGGCGGATAAAGAAACAATGTCAAAACTAACTAGTATGTCTGAGGGTGAAATAGAAATATTTTTCGGAAGATCAATAAAATAAAAAGAGTTTTTGACAAAAGACGAAGCTTTTTCGGCTAATGGTTGTACAGATAAAGCGAGATGTTTTGCTAATTTTTGAGTGGGGCAGTTGTATGCACTGACGATGGGTCTTAGGTGAATATTGAGCTTATGGATTTTTGGAAAGCCGTACATCTTTGGAATTCGGGATGATTTTTCTCTGGGTATGAGATTTTTTTATGTCTGAAGGTAAAGTAGACTTATTTATGATGGATTTGGTCGTTTTTTCTAGATAGATGGTGGGATCGTTTGGGACGCGTTTGTATTCTGTGGAATTGAGAAGTTCGAACATTTTGTCGAAATAATTAGAAGAGTTAAGAATGACGGTGGCATTACCTTTGTCGGTCGGAAGGATGACAATGTCAGGGTTGTTATAAAGTTCTTTGAGGGCGCGTCTTTCTGAAAGACTGAGAAATAGCTTCTTCAGTTTGACAAATAATTTTCTCAGTTGGGATTGAAAGAGGTGTGACAGAAAAATTAAAGCTTTTTGATAGAGCTTTGGTAGCTGAATCAGATATGTGAATATCTGAGAAATTGCGAACAACAGTAGAAGGTTGTTGATTCGAAATAGGCTTTGGATTTTGTTGAGAGATAAGTTGGTACAGTTTTGCGTTTCTGGGTTTGGGTTTTGTTGTCAGAAATGTGTTAGGCTTTTTGGTGAGAAAGACGATCGAAAGTGTCCCATAATAATGAAAGGATATTAAAAGAGTGGATGTCATTGTAAATTTTGAGAAGTTGGGAATTTGTTGTATCTAAGTTGCGTCGGGTGGAATGAATTGAATTTCGAAGAAGCAAAAAACCAGTTGCTCTAAGAATTTTGGAAATTGATGAAGATTTAGTGTGATGTTTAACTTGAAGAGATTTTGGAATGACTTTTGGAATGATTCTATATATATATATAATATATATATATATATATATAAATATATATATATATATATATATATATATAAATATATATATATATTATATATATATATATATAAATGTGTGTGTAGATAAGAAAACGAAGATGACAAATAACTTATGAGTTTAAAAACCTATATTGATCAAAAACAAACATCACTTATAGGCAGATAAATCGCATACGGAACAAAAAAGCTTAGAATGTAGCGGTTGGCTGAAGCATCTATCCAATTGGGGATTATTTCAGCAAAACCTGTAGAGAGAATTATGTACAAAGTTATTTGTGTGTAGGTAG